TAGTTATCAAACTTAAACATTCCAATTATTATACGTCATTTGAATGATATATGAAAGTATTGAAGTTACAAAGTTGAATGAAAGTTTTGGTTATTTATATATCCTCAATATTATAATGATTCATCCTATATTTATTTATTTATTTATTTATTTACGAAATATTTTTCTTCTATTTTCTTTTTCAACAACTGTCGTAATTAATGAGATTTTTTTAATTTAACATTTAATTTATGTAATTACTAATAATAAAAACAAAAACTTTTTTTTTTGCCATTTTAAAATTTACAAAATAAATGAATGAAAAAAAATAATTCTTGCCATTATATGCTTATAGTAATTGATAATTGATAATAATATTAATTAATAATAATTGTAATTGATAATAATAGTAATTGATATTAATATTAATTGTAATTGTAATTGATAATAATAGTAATAGATAATAATATTAATTAATAATAATTGCAATTGATAACAATAGTAATTGATAATAATATTAATTAATAATAATTGTAATTGATAACAATAGTAATTGATAATAATATTAATTAATAATAATTGTAATTGATAATAATAGTAATTGATATTAATATTAATTAATTATAATTGTAATTGACAATAATAGTAATTGATAATAATATTATCATTAATAATAATTGTAATTGATAACAATAGTAATTGATAATAATATTAATTAAGAATTTATGCAACGGTATTTTTTAATTTTATTTGTTAAATTTTTTCTACACGAAGTTAACTCATTCAAAGATATTTTACATTTTGAATAATTAAAATTTTCAAATTTTAATTTCAGCTAAAACTTTTTGTTGCTATAACAAATTTTGAAAATATTTGCTAATATTAAAAAAATATAGTTATATTTTTTAATTAGTATTTAATGATACAAATGCACATGAAAATTCTGTTTCATACGTGTAATAACATATAATCTAAAATAATATATTACTATTACCTAAAATATGTTACTATAAAATACCTCAATATATTATCTAAAATAATATGCTTAATATATTACTTAAAATTACTTATATAAAAATTTTTTTTGCACTATGTATGAATTTTTTAAATTATAGTTATAAAACTGTTAGTAGAATTTTTATGTATTCCTAAAATTAATATTGCTATTATCTGAAATAACATGCTAAATATATTATCTAAAATATTATACTACTGCTACCTAGAATATATTACCTTAATATATCAACTAAAGTAACATACTGGATTTAATGCCTAAAATAATATATTACTTTAATATATTACTTAAAATAATATACTACCTAAAATTACTCGAATAAGAATTTTTGTTCGTATTATTCTAATTTTTAAAATTATAATTATAAAACTACTTAGTACAATTTTTATGCTTTTTTTAAATTAATATTTTTTTGCACTGAGAAATTTTCAGTAAATCCATTCTTTTGCAATTATTAAATAATTTTAAATTTTTGCAATTTATAAAAAGCTAATCAAACGATAATTTAAGATAGATGAAATTTCATCAAACTTATAAAATGTAAAATAATTTCCTAAATTTTTTTCCTACAAAAAGTTATATATATTTCATCAAACCTATAAAATGTAAAATAATTTCCTAAATTTTTTTCCCACAAAGAGCTATTTATCATTTTATCAAACTTATAAAATGTAAAATAATTTCCTAAATTTTTTTTTTTCACAAAGAATTATTTATTTATCATTTTATCAATATTGTTCTGATTAAAAGTACATTGATAAGAGATGATGAATGTTCCCAATAGAAATTGTTAAATGAATGGAAAGAGGAAATAATTGAACAGTTGCTTCTTTTTAAGAATTTTAAATACTTGGGAAAAGATCGAAGTTGTAATCTATCCATTTACAACTTATGCTTCAATTCATTCAATCCTTCCTACCTTCACCCCCTCCCCCTCCCTCTCCCTCCTATGCTATCGCTTAATGATTATTTCAAATTCATTCATCTTCCTAAACTATTTCAATATCACTTTCCTCCTACTCATATAATTCATTATTCTGATATTTATCGATTTCTTTCCCATTTCTGATATTTATCAATTTCTTTCCCAATTCTGATATTTATCAATTTCTCCCTCTATTTAGTTGCAATTTATTCATAGATAAATTACAAAAAAATATTGAACTCTTTCAGTATCACTTTTTCTCCTATTCATATAATTCATCATTCTGATATTTATCGATTTCTCTCTCATTTCTGATATTTATTGATTTCTTTTTCATTTCTGATATTTATCGATTTCTTTTTCATTTCTGATATTTATCGATTTCTCTCTCATTTCTGATATTTATCGATTTCTTTTTCATTTCTGATATTTATCGATTTCATTTTCATTTCTGATATTTATCAATTTCTTTCTCATTTCTGTATCTGTCGTTTTTTCTCTTCGTTTAGTGAAAAAAAAATACTGAACTATTTCAGTATCACTTTCCTCTCACTCATATAATTCATTTCTGATATTTATCGATTTCTTTTTCATTTCTGATATTTATCCATTTCTCTCTCTCTCTCTCTCTCTCTCTCTTTCTCTCTATTTAGTTGCAATTTATTGATAAATTAAAAGAAAATATATAAATATTTTGCATATTCATTTTTTTCTTTGTTACTCTTTCTCAAATGCGATCACATTTATATTTATTGATTAACTTGATTCTTTTTAAACAAAAATTACTATAATTTAATTAATTTAAATTATATGAAAGCTTTTTCCAATAATTATTTTTTAATTTGAAGATTGTAAATTTCTATTGTTTTATACTTTCATAATTAAAATATGATAATGAATTTGAATTTTTTTAAACTAAAATTTCAGGCATTTTTAGAAAATAAAGGAATATTCGTTCAAATCTTCTTTAAAACATTTTATCGAAAATTTGATTTTTTGATAGAATGATTAGAAGAATAAAATTGTATTATTTTAAGCTATCATAAAATAATTTAGCTAATTAATGAATTATCCGAAAGATTTATTTTAAAGAATGAATTGTTGTAATTTTTAAAAGTCATAAAACTTTGCAAGAGAAATATTATATTAATAGTTTGATGGCAGATATAAATATTATTCTTCAAAATATTCATCAATTGCAATGAATGAATTAATTAATTGTTAATTAACTAACTAATGAATTGCTATTTAATGAATTAACTCATTCGTTTGCATTAATGAAACAGAGAATATAGAATTATAATTAATATAGAATTAATGACCAAAGGAATTATAAAAATTACAATTTATTATTTTAATTTAAAATGCAGCAAAATAATATTTAATTATTTAATTATTGAATTTGAGTTTTGATATGAATATTATTGATTAAAATTTAATTTTAGCAAAAATCAATGCTAGCAATGGAAACATCAATGCCAAGCTCAAGCAATGATACAATATTAGCAAAATCAGAAATTACTTCACCGCTATCAGCTACAAAGCTTCAATATGTTACCGAAAGAATTATTGGTAATTAATTTTTTCTTTTAAATTTTAATTTTTAATATTAATTATATTGAGAAAATAAAATTAATAACTATTGCACACAATTTGCTTTATTTCATTTTCATTTTATCTTAAATTGTTGACAGTTCATTTCTTCCTTTATTTATTTATTTATTTACACTTTTTTAAAATGTAAAAATTTAAAAAATTTTTACTTATATTTTTTCACAATGTGAATAAGTTAAATTCGATCATTAAAATGTATATTCCTTTCATTTATAATTTTTAATTTGCTTTATTTATTTGTCCATTTCACATAAAATAAAATCAATTCTTCCATCAACTAATGGATTTTTCGTTTTTTTTTTTTTTTTTTTATTTTATAGTTTATTCATTTATGTTTATTATAAAAAAATGAACTAGAAAATAAAAAAATAACTTGGGGAACTATTTATACGAAATATCGCCATATGCTTTTTTGAATTGCCTAATTCAAATATAAATTTGATGCGTCTCACTCATCACCATAAATCCGAATAATTTGCTCATTTTGAAATTTCCCATTCTTTTTAAGAATTATATAAACCGATGAGATATTTGCATATTTATAGGGAATGAAAAAATTCTAATATTTATTTTTTAATTTTATAATTTTCCATTAAAAAGAATTTTTTGATAGAACTAAACAGAAGTTTTCAAATTTTTTGTTTAAAATTAAATTTAATTAAAAAATTTTTTAATTTAATTAAAAAACTTTAATTTGCTTAAAAATAGAAATCATAAAGTTTTGATTATATAAATATAAATTTTTGAAATTTCTATTGCAAAAATTTTAACATCTAAATCTTGAAAATTCAAATTTTTATGATTAAATTTTTTTACAAATCTTTTATACTGAACATAAAATAAGAAAGGTATTTTAAAAAAGGGTATTGAAAAAGCATTTTAGAAAATTATTATTATATTATTATTATTATTATTGTTATTATTATTTATTATTATTGTTAATATTATTATTATCACTATTATTATTATTATTATTACTATTATTATCAATATTATTATTATTAATATTATTATTATTATCATCATTATTATTGTTATTATCATAATAATTAAGAAAAGATATCACAAATAGAATAGTATATCACTTTATCATCCTTATCATTTAATATTTCTTTGTTTATTTGCAGTACTTAATAATTTGTATTATCATGTTGTTTTATCATTAATTATCTGTTTGCTCATTTGTATTACTTAAATATATTCAATTTGTTTTATATTCATCTGTGATTATCTATTTAATGAAATTTAAGCTTAAATTATGAAAGGAAATTTAAAAATTTATTTTTCAGCAGCATTATTTCCATCAGACAGTACGGATGCTCAATATCGAACAGATCTCAAAGATGCCACCGTTTTCCTTCGACGTAACCATTTTGAACATTATAAGGTACAACTTTAATTCTTATCCTTTATTAATTCATTATATTTGTTAGAAATTAATTATTAAACAAAAATTAGTCTCTCCATATGGAGCAAAATATGCTGTCCAATCGATTTATCATGTTCTCGGAAATAACGACAGATGCCGTATTCACACTTGATGAGGACATAATTGCTGTGAATGTTGATGAAATTGAATTTGGCTATCA